CTTAACATGCAACCATCAGATATCAATTTTTTACACAGTAAACAAGTATTGAAACCTAACCTCTCATTTAGCAAGATTTTTTTTCTTGTTCCGAACGTCTACGACACTATAAGAACCTTTTCAATTGCTCACAACTATGTGTTTCCACAGAGTTATAAAAATGTAAATCACCATCAACGATTTTTTCAAATAATTGATTTGAATGTAGAGATAATATTGCTTCTCTAGCCATTGTTGGTCAAAACAGTGCGAAAGATTTGAATTGGCGCTATGTTAACATGGCGGCTGCGCTTGCGCTCATCACATGATGAAAAGGTCTATAGGTTGTACAAAATAACTGGAAAAAGCCTATAATAACTAGATAGGAAAGTCATGTGTTGGACTTATCAGAATTTTTAACTTGTAATCAGTTAAATATAAATAAAATGTTTTATCGTAATTTTTGTTGCAACATGCTTTAAACAGCGACAATATATCTTATTTACGAAACGAGGCAGAAATATAATTAAGATCGAACTTCACTTCAGGTAACTTCGTTTGATCTTATATATTATTGTTGTTATTCGAGGTAGCTTTAGTGTAGGCTTTAGTCCAGAGTTATCTTAAATATCCATTTAAGTGTATTATTACCTAATAAAATTTTTAAAAATAAAAGTTCCGTTTTGGAATTTATAACTTACTAGTTGTTTTCATATTACTTCGTTAAATTTATTATTTGATTAATCATTTAAGATTGTTATTGGTCATATAGTGAATTTTTTTATTAATTCGTTAAGGGCGTGCATTGGAACAGAGAAGTCTGAACAAGTCCTCCCAGAGAGAGACAAAATAAAGTTATCCGAGAGGTGCTGCCTCTAGTTAGCAACTAAGTAACAAATATAAGTTCTGCATTTTCGCATTTGCGAATAAAAATGTATTCTTTTAAACTCGCAGGTACGGGCTTTTGTATGGTAGAGATTGAAATTTTTTTGACTTTGCCTCCCACTTCGGTGTCACAAGCTGAATTTTTCAGGAATGAAAGTACATGATAAGCTTACCCTTATTCCGGAGGTAATACAAAATTAGACAGTGCAAAAGGGCACTATCATAAAAAATCGAGTTATTGATACCACTATATAGAAAAAAAAATGCTTATTTTTTTGTTGTAATGCACAATAAGGTCTTTGTAGGAAGTATTTTTTTATAATTATTTAAAAAAAATCATTTGGATTAGCCCTTATGGTCGAAAAAAAATTGAAACGTCAATATCTCGGTTTCAACCGTCCACAAATTTGTATAAAAAATCTTTTTTTAGAAATATACCTCTCATTTGACGAAAAACGAAGGCCTAAATGAGAAAAAACTATTCCTCATAAAAGTTTCGCCAATGTATTAACAAGGTAACGGTGCTTTCCCCAAATTTTTTGCTTTCATAATAACAAAAATATAGCAATAAACAATTAGTTATGTCATGGTTTAACTAGAAAGCAAACATTGAAGGTAAATTCTCTCACTCTCTATTCTTCTCTCTCGGTGCTAAAATGTGTGCAATCAGTTTGACTCTCTCATATTATTTTATACACGGATTATTGATTTATACGCTATGATTTATTTTTTATTTTTTGAGGAAAATAAAAAATAGGAAAATATGAACTATTTATTGAAGGTATAAACACAGTATATATAAGTATCGATTATAAACAGTAAGGCTATTGCTTTGCAAAATACAATAAATTCCCAATGTAAAAAACATTATAATAAGAATAATTAAAAGTATATAAAGCATAAATTAATAATATTAAAATTTATAGTACAAGACTTTTAAACTAATCAGAATAAGATTCACCATACGAATCAACATTTTCCAAAACATTAGCGACTGTGGTCAAACTTTTTCTGCAGTTTTTCTGTGCCATACAGGTAGGTGCAGGAACCGATACAGCCAATATTTTTTTCCTGCATTTGCAAATTTTGCTTTCTTAGTCTAGAACAGAATAATATTGTTAGAATATTGTACATCTATGAAAATTGTCGGTGTATAGTACCTTTTTTGCATTTGCATGATGTAAGTTCTGTTATGTCTGGTGGCAGGTCGGACAGAGTCTTAGAGTGGGTATCAGACTTCCATCTTGATCTACTTTTTATTCATACTCTTTAACATTAGGAAGCTGCACATGCGGCTTTAAAGAGCTTAGCCAAATATTTAGCTGGTGAAAACATATTAAACAATGTAATCTTAGGTCGTCTTAAGTCGGTGGTAATTTAGCAATGGTTTTTAAATAGGCCATTAATCCCCTCAAAATGTTAATGGAAGTAACATTGGCAATTTTTGAATACATTTTTATGAAACATTTTTCAAGATTAGAGAATATGTTTTCTTTTCCCAATGCCAGACTATTGGCTGGTTGTATCATAACCGGTCAGAGAATGAAAATCAGGCAAATTTTCTAGAAGGTATCATCTAAATTTAAATCATGTACTGCTAGAAATCGTCTTGAGTCTCTTCGCCCTGTTCTGAACCATATCTCTTTAGTCAAATGCTTCTTAAAATAAATTTTTAAGACTAGAACATCTGTATCGTTCCAATTAATAATGCAGCGTGAATGCCCCGAATTTTTGGCTGACAATATGTGTAATAAGATACGAGTATCAGCTTCTTCGTGATTTGAATTTAAGAAATCGTCTTTTGATGGTTCAAAATTCGTCCCATATTTATTGATATTCGCGAATCCACCACTAGTTACAAATTAAATATGCTTTTGCTGAATGGAATTTTAAAGAAGTTGCTCTGACAGAAAATTTGTTAAACGTCTTTTGTTAAATATCGAATGAATAAACAAGTTCTATTGTTGCGGAAGTGGAGTATTGGGTCGGTCAATTTCTACATTAATTGATT